ATTTTTAATGTCGGCTGACTGTAGTGCGCGGTTTAATCATGATTCGAATATTGTTTTAACGCTTCTGCCGTCGAACGGCGATGATACATTCGTGAAATTTTAACTATTATTTATTATTATTGTTGTTGTTATCTTTTGCTTATGTTTGCATTATATATCATTCATTGTTATTGTTGAAATATCTTTTGAGATACCTGTACGTTGTTATGAATAATTGAAGATACGTATGTCAAACACTATGTCGGTTTCTTTAAGTAAATTTTTACATAATTTAGCAGCTCGGACATGAGTGTGTACGTATGCATATGATTAGATTGCGGATTTTTATGCATTTGTGGGAAATTCGAAGATACAAAATTGCACAGAGTGCACATGACATGGGAAAATATTATATATAAAATATTTGAAGTACGATACTTTCTATAACGTTCGATATAGACATAATTTCGATTGTTATTTCGATGAACACTGTAACAATTCAACAACATCAGTAGCATCTTCAATCGTGCGTTTTAATATTTCTGTGGCCGCGAATTTCATTTCGAATTGTTCAGTCCTTTAATTTTCGCGGATTACGAGTCTGTTAATAGCCACGTTAATCCCAGCGATATTAAATCTGTTGATTTCGTACGATAATATGATTCATCGGCCCAGCAAGTTAAACAGTCTAGCAGTTAGATAACGAATTATGACAATCTGATAATTAAATGGCAAATTAAACAATTTCTGTACATTCGATCGACGCATGCACAAATCCGCCACATGTTTCGTGTATTTTTCTTTGACAACGGATTAAACTGCCGCGAATAAAATTAGTGCACGGTTTATTTGAATAATTAATAATCATTAATAATTGGTGAAAGTTAGTAAATAATTGGTAGTATTTTATTTCAATGTAATTCTTCACTCATAAAAATATATTAAAATAAATGCGTCGGTTTTAATTTTATTTATTACAGCCATTCATTTTATATGTAATTTCATATATTAATTGTTGCCATTTCATGGTTTTAAATATTTCTCGAGCGAGCGAAAAACTTGCTTCTCCAAATTGCTGAATAATATTTTTCCACGTGTCACACACGTGCCACGAGTTTCCATTAAATACGTATTTTTCGGAACGAAGATATACCTACGGGGTAGAAGAAAAGAAAAAAAGAAAAAGAAACGTAACGATACAATTTTACAAACACGTTTACCCGCAGACTTAATTTTTATTGTCCTATTTTCCTTGTCCACGCGCGGTACATGTTAAAACAACGAGAGGGGTTATCCCTCAAAATTTATCACAAGCCAGCACATTTACATTTGACGCTGCCGCAAATTATATAATTCTTTCTCAAGAGTGAACGCAGTTATAGTAAAAAGGCAGTCATTAGACGCTAGAATTCCGCGAAAGAAAAAAAAAAAAAAAAAAGAAGAGATACAACGTCGCGTTCCTCCTTTTTATTTCGCTTTCAACTTGAAAGACATTTAATAAAGACGTGCAATTTAGCGAAACGCGCGTAAGAGTGAAGAAGCTCCAATTTATTTTTGACCTTTCTCTCCTACTTTTTTCCTTTTCGCTGGAATTTTAAAATACACGCCCCCATGCGCGCGCGCGCGCGCTTTTGAAAATACGGACGTAATTTTCGAAAGGAACGAGAGAGAGAAAAAGAGAAAAAAAAAAGAAGAAAACGAGGATAATGTGTATACGAGTAGGACAATAGATGTACTTTTAACGTTACACTCGAACGTATTCGTGCGTGCATTTTACATTTATTTCACCGGACAATAATCCTCGAAACGCGAGACTTTGTGTAAGCGAACACTTGCGGGAAAAATTGTATCTTCTTAGTTTCCATTAAGATGCAACGTCACGTCGGCGAATAGAAACGTTTACGTGACTACGATTTTAATATTATATGACATACGATAAACATTCCATACCATATGCTTCGCGCGTTTGAATAAATTTCGCTCGCGCTGCTTCCGATATCTTGAATTTCAATTCTCTCTGGTCAAATCGGTTTGATTGAGGGAGTGTTTCATGTCAAATTCACGCAGAATTATTATTTATCATTGCTAACTAACTAATTGTATATTGTATTACATTATATACATATATATTGAATGTACAATGCGATGATTGTATTATACGTATATACAATCTATATTTATACAAACAGAATTTATAGCATTATATTACGCGCAGTAACGCATAGTTATACAAAATAATTACACGTATAATTTTTCAATTTAAAAAATTTTTCGAGATCACAGTAGATCTACGGTTCATCTAATTATGATAAATATTCTATATATATGGTTATGATAAATAATATTCTCTAATATTCTGAGATATTTTATATAGTTTTTCACATCACAGGCATTCTCTGTATTCTTGCATATCTATTCTATTTTATAGAGCAGCAATAATTTCTCACAATATTGTAAATACTTCAATTTATTTAAATTTCACAAAATCGTAGAATCTAGGCGAAAGATACGCCTAGATGAAAAACTATCAATCGAGTCAAATCTTTGGGACATTCTCTCACAGTCCAAACATTAACGAACAGAATTCAATGATCAAAAGAAATTGCAAACGAAATGTCAGCCTTAATAAGTTCATCTAAATTTTTAGTGTTGGAGCCTCGATAAATCCTTTCTATGAGACCAAACATCTCGCGTTCGTGAAAAATCAAGATTCAAAAAATGATCGAGGAAACAAGGATGTTAAAAATCGAGAAATAACGATTTCTGACTGGTCGTTCGAAGGAGCGATCAAGCAGATATTTCGCAATATCGAAACGTACGCCCACAATTTTCGAGATCCTACCTATGGACTGGTGGAAATATATTTACATTCATGCACAAACACACGTGTCCGAGGTGTTCGGCGAAATTTCGATCGTCCGACGTGATTTCGTTCGCTCGCGTATGATCGTAGATAATACAGCTTTTGCATAAACATTTACTCCCGCGGGGATGTTTGACGGGTATTTTCGTAACGACTCGCGTGATTCCAGCTCTTGTCTGATTCTTCTGTATATACAGCGACGTCCGTTATGAAACACCGGGGCTGACTCGTTTTAATTAGAAACTGTGTAAATTGAACGAACGGGATGTTGGACCGCGGTACGATTTCACAGTCTGATCGAGCGAATGTTTTCGTTTTTATTTCTCTTTGACGAAAATTTCTTTTCTTTTCTTTTTTTTGTTTTGTTCCTTTCTGCTGCAATAATGATAGAAGAAAACGAGGAATCTGAATTTCAATCACTTACAAGCGACTACAAGTTGCTGCAAATATACTGTAGTATTGTGATGCGTTTCATTTTACGAAATTGGTGAATTAATCGATCATATTTTAGATAGAAATAAACATTTCGACATTACAAAAGATAATTTAACAAAAAGTTAACGTATTCTATTTCACGTGGGTCTATTCTATTTCAAAGCCAGGTCTCTACTTTCAAACAAATTTGTTTCCTAACTGAATCTACCACAATCTTGAAAAATGAAATCTCCTTTAAAACAACACTTCGAAATTTGTTGAACGATTTTTTCTAACGAAATGAGAAGAGTCTGAAATAAGGACAATTTTTCATCGAGTGTACAAATATTTTCTGGAGTCACTGCATCTAGAATAGTCAAAATACTTTCTACAGTATAATATTCGGTAGATACAGCAACTTTTCATTTTGAATTGTTTGTTAATTTTAATTATCACACGATTCAACATGTCATTTTGAGATAATTAAAACGTTTATACTTTATATAGAAATTCTGACAAAGACGTTATTTGTACATCTAAAGAACAGTGTGATGTGATAATAAGATAAACATGTCAGGAAGATCGTTCAGAACATAAACATAACGAGAGCCAGTTTATCGACGAACTTTCAGTCTATCAATATTGGGATTACCATTTTGTAATAATATAGGTTACATGGATCGGATGTTGATTATCATGAATTTATCATTCATTTGCACAAAATTCGATGCTGAATCCATAATTAGAACAATAGAAGTAACGTAATGCATAGTAGAAGTAGCAATCTATAATCTCAGAATTCAACGACATCCCTAACAGTTTAACAAATCCTTCAATTAATATAAAAACTGAAACGGCGATCACCATATCATTTGTTATATAATTGCATCGCAGTAATGCAACTAGTAATTGTACAAATAATAATGATTGCCCTGGTCTCATCACGTTGATGGTTGCTACGTATAGAAACCAATGCTTGCCCCATCCGCCCTTCATTTACTTTAAAACAAATTTATTCCACAAATAAAAAGAAACTCCTTTTGATGTACAATTGCAAAATGTTCACAATTTCTTATCATTGTGCAAACGAACAGCAAAAGGAGTTTAAAGAAGAAAACGATGAAATGTTAGCCAAAGCACAATATATTAAAATACAAATCAAAGTTTAAATTGAAACTAATTATAACTAAGTTATAATTGGTTTAAAATATTTTGCATATTTAAAAAAAAAAAATTGTTTCACATACATTATAGCAACAAGAATATTCTATAGAACGTGCTTACATTGAATTTACAAAGACTAACTATCTTATAATTGAATTAAGAATTTGCACGTTCATTATACGATTAGATATTATTCGTAAAAGTATTATGATTCGAACAATTTTTCCTAATATTTTTAAATGGATGTTAGTAGTCGAATACATGCAAAATTTTTCATCCCAATTTTCAATCGCTGTTTTAAGTCGTTATATTCCTTCATTGATGAATAAATAATGTACACGAAAATGGTAAGAGAGTCGGGTGACTTCCAAAATATGGGAGACAAAAAAGCATTGGATATTCGGTCTGTTCCAGTTAGTCAATGATTCACTATCGTCAACGAAGTTGGTTACAAATTGACGGTTTGCTCCTCGGACGTACATAGTACAATGACGTAAAATTTCACGCAGTTTTCCAAATTATTTCGCGCGATATGTTTTAATTACGAACGATTCGAATCAGTTTACTGTTCGGCGAAAATATGCGTCGAAAGAATTTTCCCACACCGAACAGGAATAAACGCTGGGGGGCAAAAAGACACGCAAGTAAGCGAGCACGTCATTACGATCATGCCTAACCTTTCGAACTTCTCAAACTTTTGTAACAGTTGCGTCAAAGCTTAAAAATAATTAGGTGACGTCAATTATTGACAGTAATTAATCGGTTCTTGTTCCTAAGTCGCATCAATGTGCTTATTTATCAATTATGTTAGTTTATATTTATTTATTTATTTGCAACTTGGGATTCGTCTTTTTAAAGTCAGTATAAAATCACGTGGAGGTTAATGATATTTCTTGAATTTCGTTAATACATGTCGTGGCGTTTAATGATATTTCTTGAATTTCGTTTTTCATTCCCGAATTAAATCGATGCATATTCATTTATAATTCAGGATGTACTCTCTTCTTTTAAAATACGTTAACCATCGATAATGATTATTCATATTTACGATTTTTATTTGCAATGTAGGATTCGCTTCTTTCTCCATGTGTAAGATTAAATAAAGGTTAATTCATATTGTGGTATTTCAGGCTCTCTTTCCTACGGTATAAAAGACAAATAAGATTGGAATTTATTTTTCTCTTAAAAGAGTAGAAAAGTATTTATGTATCAATAACTCTTGTATGTTTATTGAGAATTCATTTTTTTTAAATATAATATAAAGTTACACTTGTAAAAGTCAATTCACATCGTGGCATTTATTGGTACTCCACACACTTTTCCTTAGTGTTCTTTAATTAGATATAACATAAGAAAAGACGAATAAGGCAGCTGGAATTTATGTCCCTTTTAAAATATGTATCTTCAAACTTTTACCTGTTAAGCTGCAACATGGAACAGCAAAGTCATAAAATGTTTTATGCGCTTCCCCTTTTATTTTTCTCCCCAACGTATTATCGCGAAAACAAAAAAACACGAGCACGTTATTCGATTCGCATCGCGTTGGTATCAAAACCAGCTTTATTCGTCAGTAACCTCTTGAACTGTAATAATTATCTACTTGAAATGTGTATGAGTTCTTGTCGTATTGCAAACGAACGACTTCGTACGTTTGTTTTAAATGCAAGCTTAAGTAGAACGTGCAAGGCAGACTGTTGAAAATTAGATAAAATGCGTTTCGTTCGCAATTACATCATCCCGCGTGTATAAATCGTTTACACATTTCACGAATTAATGCGTTTCATTATATTTTATTGCCCTGAATAAATTTGTTAAGCTTAATAGGATAAATGATGATTCCACGTGGAGAACGGCGGCATACGTGATTAATGTTATTTGATTATATGATCGGTCTAAACGAGTTGAAATAATAAAACATCATTCCGCGCAATTCTTATCGATCATTCTCTCTTGTCAAACGACCGTCGGATTTTGTTAATTTCGTTAATTGAATTGCTTCTCTGTCGATTTTTAAATATTACAACTTCTGAAATTATTCCGGTATAGCTGAAAGAAAGTATTTGTAACTTTCAATATTATATTTTGTAATTTATTAACTTAAATAACCCACCAACAACTCACAAATTTAACTAATTCTATTTCACTACTTACTTTATTATTGCATTACTTTCTAATTTTTTTGTTTAATTGTTTATCATTATTGGTTACTGTTACACCTTTGTCATTATTTATTTCACGATTAAACACGGGGTGAGAAACATGAAAAACCTCATCTTCGCAATTTTACTCTGCACGTTCTTGAGAGAACTCAGCATTAAAACTTTCGCTCAGATCGATATACCTGTTCATATCCGGCGTATCCTACGACTCGATGCACACCCTTACGTCGCGAATTCGAAGAACGTCAGGACGCGTAACCATTTATTCTGGAGTCTTAAGAAATTGTTCAGAGAATCGTTGCGAGAGAGAGAGAGGTGTTCTCCTTGGAAGCGTAGTGTCGAGGCAGTCGGCGAAAAAAAATGTGCGACAAGGTGGCTGGAAGGGCGAGGGGGCTGGAAATCATGATAAAAGGAGGGACAGAAGGGCGTAGATGCCGATGGAAGGGTGCCAGGTTGAAGTGGTCTCGCACTTTACAAAATGAGATACACCCACGCCTATAAAAAGCCAACCACACCTATGTGTATGCGATACGGCACCCTTCGCGAGCCACCGCTCAAGGCTGGCGGTTTCAATCGCTATCGCGAATTGAAAGTCATCGGCGGTCCCTCGATTCGCGAATCGTTTCGTCCTCTCGTCTGCTTTCTGCGTGGATCGCCGATTCTTTTGTCTCTCTTTTTTTTTTTTGGTCGCGTGCAACGCGAAACGCGTGACGACGCAACGTTGAAACGAAAGATTGCGTGGAGTTACGAAGAGGGCGAGTTTTCGGATATTTAGTAATGAAGGGAGTAACTACCATTTTTTAATTAGGATCTTCAAAAGAATTTAATTGCAGGATATTTGAATATTTTTGCGGTTCTTAATTGATAGCATTGAAGGTTGGAGACCATAGTAATTTAGGATTTTAAAATATTTAATTTTTCTTAATTTAACTTGATTTGAGTTTGTTAATTTCAATTGTTAATTTCTATTGAATAGGACAGGATATTTCTATTTAATAGGATTAATTTTTGTTATAAGATACGGAATTTTTGTAAGTTGTAATACAAATTATTAGACATCTATAACCCTTTCTAAGGGTTAAAATAACTGAGGGTTAAAATAATTCACGAAATATAATTATTCCATATAATTATTCCAAAATGAGCATTTTCGTTACAATTTAATGATCTTGGAGCTATGGTTATTCCGCGACTTTAAGATAAACGATTGCATAGAGAAAGGGTAACTTCTCGAATATTCTTCGAATATTCATGTGCTCTCTGAATTTTAGAAAGGAGACCGAAGTTGCAAGAATGTTGGGTTATAGGTAGATTTTCACATAGGACATAATGTATTCTAATTGTTTCAATTATTCATATCGATTTAATGATCGTGTAATACAATTTTCAAGCAGTAAAAGGCGAAATAAAAGACAGCAGCCTCAATTATGAAAATTCTGTCGCGAAATTACTCGTAAAAGCTTCAGCACGTCTCGCAATCTCTAAAATTCTTCCCCATATCTTTAAACCTGCCAGAGATATTCCGGGTAGTCGAACTTATATTCGACCACCCTCTGCATATTCTTTCACTCATCCAAATTCGCCGAACGGTCCCACGAATCTTTCTCACCTCCCTCTACCTTGTGCCAATATACAGATCAGACGTATATCATTTCAAAGAAGGCAGAGGCCATTCTTTCGACCGTGCTGGCAGATATACTGGAGGAATCGTTGGAGAATGCGAGGAACCTAGCGGAGATCGCTGGCAAGAGCAGCGTGACCCAACGCGAAATGGAAATGTCGCTGAGGAATCTCTGTTTGCGTTTGAGCAGAATGCCGGCGAACGGCGCGCGATTCGACTATTGGAACGACGACGGGGACAAGTATAACAAGGGTCCTGCCGCCTCGTCCAAGGTTGGTCGAACGAAGAAAGACAAGTAGAATTAAAAAAAAAAAAAAAAAAAGAAACGTTGCACACGAAGGCCGCAGGAGTTGGATCGTCCCTCGTCGATAAACGAAATAGGTTGTTTCAGAAGGCACGCGGCACCGCTACAGCACCACGCCACACTGTCACGGAGACTACGGTCACAAACTAGTGACCATCTATCGCAATCTACGTTTCCTTCGGTAATCGTTAGTTCTGCCATTCGAACGACGCTCGACGAGTATACGTTTCGTTCCTTTAGGGGGGACTATTTCCTTCTGTTTTCGTGGAGTCGGTGTGCATCGATGTGTTTCGTGGGAAATAAAAGATGTTCCAAATTGACCTGTGCGTGTAAGTTCTTTTCGATGGGATTTATTTGCGCCTACTTGCAGAGAATGAACACCCTGAAGAGAAGCATTGAGAAGCTTCTGCAATTTATTGAGTAAAGTGTCACGTGAAACAAAATGGTACGGCATTGAGAATAATCATTCCTTATGTTTAAATGATATTTTGGTGTGAAAATTTCATCGATTACATCGTACTTTGCATACCAACGTGTGATATTGTTCAAAGCAACCACCAATATGGGATTGATAGAACGAGTATAGCATATAGGAGTTAGTGTATATACTATCGCGCGTAAGTATTTGGATATTTTTAAATTTAAATGAATTGAAGAGAAAATGAATTTGCAGAGTTAATAGATATTGACAAAAATTATAATAATTAGGCGGCTATAGACTCTGCAGAGTGACACTAGAACTACCGACCTACTGAAGTATAATATTTAGGCGGCTATAGACTCTGCAGAGTGACACTAGAACTACCGACCTACTGAAGTATAATATTTGTAAGCAAATTAAAAAGACAGATATGCTAAAATCGAAAATTCAGAAAACTAATAATAGAAAAATTAATCGTTTATCGTTAATAAAAATATCAGATTTTTAATGAAATTGCATAAAAGGCTCAATTATTTATATAGCAAACCCTGGAAAAATATATAAATTTAGTAGTCAGTATGTAAATGCTTCAAAATTTTTATAAGAGATATTAACTATTTAATATTTCTTCGTTCTTTTCTATTTATAAGTTTCAAAATTATCAGTTGTGTACGTACTGAGAACCAAATTACTCTCGAATAGTTATAATTATTAACTAATAATGTTGATCACGTGGTAATTTATGCTTACGTTTGCGATGAGACAACGTTACTGTCCAATTTTATATGCGAGCATGTTATTTACAAAATCTCGGTTACACCGCGTTGTTTATCGATATTTTGCACCATGAGCACAAAGCAACCGTGAAAAATCCAGAAAATCGAGACTATCGGGTTTCATGAATTCAGGTCATCGTTTAGTAGATATTGCCGCGTGTAATTTCGTAGATACAGCAATTAGCATCGAATCAGTTCTAGCCTCTGAATACACGATCTCTCTTGTGTTTGCTTACTAAAATTCATTAAATACACAACGCGATAAAATAAAAATAATCTCGGTATTTTCGACGAGATGTTCTAATAACCGCGACGAGTTACGTTTACGGGTATGCAAAAATCTAAAAATGTTTGGTTGGGTCGAGAGTATTTCTCGGGATCAGAGACTCAAAAAATATTCTCGGACTAAATATATTCTTCTCATAAAGATGCACTTATTTTCGAAGATTATAAAAATTCAAATGTCTCCGGAGTAGGAAAATTTTTTTCCTAAGAGATTCACCAATTTTCATCTTGAAACGTGCTACGATTCCTACTTTTTCATTGTTCCTCTGAATTTTGGATATTAACCCTTTGATTGGTTATTAGAGGCTCGAAAAAGAATAATGTATTGCCGAATAGGTATATTGAAAGGTATATATTCAAAGATGAATTTTTAACTTGTCATTCAGTGTTCAGATTTTTGGTAATTTTAAGCATTTGAAAGATTAAGGTCAAACGACAAAAATTCAAAAAGTTCTAACATTTCATTGTCTCTACAAATGCAAGAATTATATTGAACTGTTGGTTCAATTGTACTTTTCAGTCTAAACGCATATACTTTCACATAAACTTCCAAATCGAATTGGCTCGAAACCCAAGCGTTTCTTGAATGAGACTTTGCTCCACATTTTCCGAGTCTTTACAACCTTCTTATCTAGTTCGTAATCAGCCAAATTCAAGTACACTCGATAAATCATGAAACTCCAACGGAAAGAGAAGCAAAAGTTTCAGAAGTTCGTTTTATTATTATTTTTTTCTTTTTTTCTACCTAGAGCCACACCCTGATTTCGCATCGCGTTTTCAAGGGCATCCTGTATACACGCATACAAACGCTCCTCCGTTAAAGCGTTTCGTTTTAATCCCTTGCGCTGGCAACTAGTTCGCGGACCATAACGAGCGACCAGGCCGTATACTGCAAATAATTCGTCGCTTTCTTTCTGACCTCGTCGGTATGATATCACTGGATAGAAATTATAATATAGATTATAATTACATAATCATATAGGTTTTTATTTTAATTTTATTTTATATTTATTTAATTTAATTTTATTTTATTTAAATCATAAAAAAATCAAAAATATTAAATTATAAATCATAAATTCTATAATTATTTCTATTATAGATAGAAGTAATTATTAGTATTATTAGTATTATATTAGTATTAATTAGTATTATTAATATTATAAGTATTATTAGTATTAATTAGTATTATTAATATTATAAGTATTATTAGTATTATATTTGTATTAATTATTTAGTATTATAGATAGAAGTAAATTTATTATTTGCTTTGCCTTGGTTATATTTAAAAGATTCTCGACGTGCGTGACACGTGATTCGAGCGCAAGAGATTAATTTCTATCCGAAAGGAAACTCACAGCATTCGAGGGTAGCGCCTATAGCATTCATCATCTCGACGAGTTCTCACGAGCATCTCCACGCGAGCCAATGCCGCTGCATTATGCACCAGGCATAAGGACCAGGTATTACGCTGCATCCATTCCCGAAACGAACGCTCTCACGATGCGACGAGTTATCCGGCTAAATTCTATCGCTGTCATCCCCCGCGGAGATTATTCTTTCTACGGGATATCGAGGTTTGCTCTTACCATCTCCCCCCGCGACAACCGTCTCACTTCAACACTCCCCTCTCTCTCTCTCTCTCTCTCTCGTCTTTCACCGACTCGTTTCTCTCTATTTCGCACGGTCGATCATTCTCTAGTTCGCCAGCGTCGCGACGTCCTCGATCGTCGTCGTGGAACGACGCGCAAGTTTTTGAGAAACCCGCCGGGAAATTAAAGATCCAACGAGTCGCTACGAGTCGATGACAGCTGCGCCTTCCATCCAAGGCGCCTTACTCGCCTCTTTCTTCCTCGTTTCTTATCGTTCCGTCTGATTCTCTTGCCGGCGCCGTGAAAGCGCGATCGTTAATGCAAGGCCAACGTTATCGGAATATTTCATTGACAATGGAACTTTTGCCAGGATCGAATCGGGACACCGTTGCTGGAGGAAACGGAAGGACGATCGGGGGTGGGGATAGGGGCCATTGGGTTCGCAGCGTTCGTCGATGGCCCACGGCTAAATACTGCCGGATAATTAATTGATATCGATTAATTATTTACAACGACAGGGCGGTTCGATGGCGTGATATAGTTTTAGCCCAGATATAGCGTGTGAGTTTTATCACGGGAAAGTTTTGTGTGGAATGTCTATGAATTTTATAAGTAGAATTTGTTTCTTCCATACTCGATTTCTTTGCTATTGTATCTGACATCGTACTGAGATGCGTTGAGATGGGTTTTCTATCGTGCCAAGCTATTTTCAAAGTTTCTGTAACTTTAAGTAATAAATGAATGCCTGTATAATGTTTTCAAGTGCCTATTTCAAAGTTGACGGATGTGTGAAGACTTTAGCGATTAATTTTACATTCGTTCATTGTACATTTATTAATTTATAGGTACGAAACAGATTTCCTTGCTCCTATTTATTACGTTATGTCCCTCTCTTTTTCTTTAGAATATTTTATTTAGAAATTATTATACATACGAAAGATCGTAAAATTAAATTGGATTTCAAATCTACAAACCCAAAAAGAACTTATACTAATTTGCTTATAAAAATATAAATTCCGAAGCCTTTATAAAAACACGAATTTACGTACACTCTTTATTCTCTTCTAGTGTACTAAATTCTAGTACACTCTGTACACATTCAAAAGTGTCTCACTGTTTCCGCATCAGAACCGGACCAATTTTTCCTCGAGAATTTAGCTTAAACTTAACTTAAAGTTCACGTTTGCGATAGTTCTACTTATCAAGCCGATTGGGGGTCGAATATTAAATTCAATTTAATAACGCGATACAAAACGGAACAAAGCGCGCCGTTTGCAATGGATAGTGGAAGAAAGAGATAGAACTCATATCCCCCCAAATATTACAGTGGGACAGGTCTCTGTCGCGATCCTTTAAGCTACTTTTCAAATACTATCCCTGTATTTCGTTCTCGTTGGTTTCTACGTTTCTGATCCTTCTCTTCGTCAGTCAGCCGAATCGTCAAACGATTCCTTAAAATTGCTCTCTCCTCTCCAAGGAACAGGGAGATCGTTCCAAGGAACAAGGGATGGAATTTCACGGAGAGAGGCGAGGGAAGGGAGAAAGGATCGAAGGGAAATCATGTTAATGATAGAAAGCGACGAGAAGGGAGAGGCGTTGGAGGTGGAATTAATAAAAGCAATTGAAATTGAAAAGGTCTCCTTTCGACCGGTTACTTCGCAAGGTTGATGTACGGAGCGATGTTGGGTTTCTATTCGATCATTTCGAAAGAATAAAAATACAAAATGAATCGCCGCTCGTCTGAACTTTGGAAATTAATTTTAGAATATCCACGAATTTAATCAAACAAGCAAATGTCAATCAGCAAGAGTTTCCATCATTTAATGAAATTTTATCCACGCAAACTTCCAGGAGTGCCATTATATCGAAATTATGCCAGAGTGTCAAAAAAAAAAAGAGCATTCCAAGCGACTGAAGTCCCAAAAAATTTCGTTCTGACCTTGAGTTGCAACGAGAGCAACCCTAACTGAAGCGACTGACATGCGCGCGCAGCCGGATCGACCTACTTCCCCCGGGCGATCGTCGCGACGATTGCTGAAAATCGCCGTGGCTCTCGATAAAAAGTAGGAAAACGACCGGCGGTGGGGGGAGGGGGGGGGGTGTGGAGGAGGAGG